TATAGAGACAAGGTTTTATATTGTATTGTAAAACCATAACAATAACAGTTGATATATAAAATATGAATTATAGAGACAAGGTTTTATATTGTATTGTAAAACCATAACAATAACAGTTGATATATAAAATATGAATTATAGAGACAAGGTTTTATATTGTATTGTAAAACCATAAAAATAACAATAACAACAACCGTTGATATATAAAAACACCATAACAATACAACAACCGTTGATATATAAAAACCATAACAAAAACAACAACCGTTTATATATAAAATATGAATGATAGAGACAAGGTTTTATATTGTATTGTAAAACCATAACAATAACAACAACCGTTGATATATAAAAACCATAACAATAGCAACAACCGTTGATATATAAAAACCATAACAAAAACAACAACCGTTGATATATAAAAACACCATAACAATAACAACAACCGTTGATATATAAAAACCATAACAATAACAACAAACTGTTGATATATAAAAACAATAACAATAACAACAACCGTTGATATATAAAAACCATAACAATAACAACAATCGTTGATATATAAAATATGAATGATAGAGACAAGGTTTTATATTGTATTGTAAAACCATAACAATAACAACAACCGCTGATATATAAAAACCATAACAATAACAACAACCGCTGATATATAAAAACCATAACAATAACAACAACCGCTGATATATAAGATATGAATGATAGAGACTATGATTTATAGTGTATTGTAAAACCATAACAATAACAACAACCGTTGATATTTAAAAACAATAACAACAACCGTTGATATATAAAAACACCATAACAATAACAACAATCGTTGATGTATATAAAAACAATAACAATAAGAACAACCGTTGATATATAAAAACAATAACAATAACAACAACCGTTGATATATAAAAAACAATAACAATAACAACAACCGTTTATATATAACATATGAATGATAGAGACAAGGTTTTATATTGTATTGTAAAACCATAACAATAACAACAACCGTTGATATATAAAAACAATAACAATAACAACAACCGTTGATATATATATATAATATATCTATAGAATGCTCGTATACTCAGATCGTAAATGAATATGTGTTTAGATTTGGGATTTATATTTACAAGAAGAGCATATCCCTTATAGTTAGTATCATTGGAAAACAAAGGAACCAGAACCATACGGAAAGACACCTGAAACAAGTCGCACCAAAGCCTTGGTTACCAAAATTTGTTTATGTAAAAGATGAGAAAACAGCGGTCAGTGGCAAAAGCCATTCACGTGCCCCAGGCAACAGTATAAAATATAGTGAACAAAGTGTAGTTTTACCGAGATAAGATTTCCAGTAATACCTCCAAATCAAGCAATGGAGAATTTATCGAGTATTCATACTATTCCATATGAAGACATACTGGTTAAGTCACAGTACCCAGCGCCTATGAGTTCTTTGTAACTGGACTGTTGAAACGGGCGCTGGTAAACTGTCACCCTCTTACACTAGATGGATCATGGAACTTATGGAGAGAGGAGTGGTATGCTTTAGGCATTACATCCTTATAACAAGACCTTTTTGCAATGGAAACCACGTAGCAGAGTTATTGTCAAGATGCATGGTCGTCAGATAGAGACTGAAACGACATGGCGACTTCAATTGTAAGAACCTGGTGAGATTAAAAAATGGTTTTAATATAATGTATTGAACCCTCTGTTTACGAAACGGAGAATTAGAACAGACAGCTTAGAATAAAACCGAAACGTATTTCAATTAAATAGAGAAAGCACGAAGTTAGTAGATCAAACAAATGTTAAACTTTACTTTTAATAATTACTTCGTTAATAAATGATGATATTATTTCCGCTGACCTCTGGGTTAACTTGCATTCCAGTAAAAACTGTAACCAAATAAATTCTCGTATCACATGTGTATTCAGAAGGCATGATTAGTATTTATCAACTCTCAGTAGTTTGTAACTAAAACAAAAACCAAAAAAAAACGGTGAAAA